TCGTTAGCCGCGGTTTTCCATCGTTAGCCGCGGTTTTCCATCGTTAGCCGCGGTTTTCCATCGTTAGCCGCGGTTTTCCATCGTTAGCCGCGGTTTTCCATCGTTAGCTGCGGTTTTCCATCGTTAGCCGCGGTTTTCCATCGTTAGCCGCGGTTTTCCATCGTTAGCTGCGGTTTTCCATCGTTAACCGCGGTTTTCCATCGTTAGCCACGGTTTTCCATGCCTCTCTGCTGCTGCCTCTCTGCATATCTTCCTGTAAGTATGATGCGGTCGTAGTGCATTCACACTTTGATTGACAGGTTGTCATTTGAGCACAATTATCTCAGAAGCACTGTTTCAGACAGAAAAATATTTTAAATTACATAATAATAATAAACCAAATGTACTTTCAATCTAACTTGTGTTAGTGCATTATCCGTTTTATTGTGGAATGACTTTTTCTCTTTTTACATATTTGTTTAAATCTGAGATCAGTGTTAAAGATCTTTTTTATAATTAATGTGCCTTATTTAAAAAGATGGCCATTTGAGAAATTGTTTTGTGCGATATATTTTAAGAAATGTTTCTAACAATTTATTTCAAATAGTTTAATTTACAGAGTCATTTGGTTTTTGTCTTGTTTATTTATATTATGATCCTACCCATTTCTGACTTGTTTTATCTCCTGGCATGTTATCGGTTATTATCGGTTATCGGCTGTTTGGAGGAGAAAGGTATCGGTTCTTAAAATAAGTTATCGTGCATCCCTACAAATTACGCAACATTTTATATTACGGCATATCTGGTCTTCCTTAAATTATTCCATTTTGAAAACAATTTTTACAAGAATGCATCTCACTTCTTCTTGTGTCATCGGAGTAAAAAGACCTCAACACACCCATCAACACTGGTCGTGCAGCCCAGAGTAAAGCCAGCTTTGCCTTCTGTTGGGTGTTTTCTGTGAACCTTAGTGGATAAAATGAAAGAGAAGCTCCTGACCTGTAGTATCTGGACTGCAGATAAGTGGAGCAGACAGCCTTGGAGACATGGCTGGCTGAGCCAAAGTCAATGACTTTAACTCTGTAGGGCTGCCTGGAGGGGTCCACCAGCATGATGTTTTCAGGCTTCAGGTCAGCGTGGATCAAACCAAGATCCTTCAGCTTCTTTAGAGCTGTAGCCACCTGCAAAGTAAAGGAAAACAGTTTGAATAAATCACTTTTCTGTGCACACTGTTCCATTAAAGACGAGGCATTTATTTTCATGACATTTTATTCTCACGTTATACATTTCTGCAACAGAAGTAAGCTTACCTGCAGCAGAATGGGCCTGATGATTTTAAGAGGCAACGGGCTGAACTTGTTCTGCTTTAGGAAGTCGTACAGGTTTTGCTCCAACATCTCAAACACCAAGCAGGTATGGCTGCGGTGCTGAAAGCACTCCAACGCACGCACAACATTGTGCTCATCTGCATTCTCACCGCTCAAACGGGCCAGGATCTCCACCTGGGATTCCAGACACAAAAAGGATTTGAGGCTTTTGTTTAGGACGTGTAATTCCAGTCCCAAAGAAGATGAGACATTTAAAATATAAATAAAAACTGAATGCAATGATGTGCAAATTTCATAACCTCAGAGATGTTCAAAGTTTTCATTGTGAATAAAATATGGGTTTACAGGATTTGCAAATCACTGCCTTGTGTTTTTATTTGCCTTTTACACAACAGGCAATAGATAATTGTTTCACCAAAATCAATACAGGGCTTTGGAAACCTCATATAAATTACTTAAGAAAAATGGCAAAATCTACTGCAGTACTGTATAAAGTTAAGAAGTTATTTAATGATAAATCACTATTTATACTATATAATGCAATAATTGTTCCACATTTGATTTATTGTATAAAAGTCTGGGGAAATGCATGTAAAACAATTACTAATCCTATTTTTATTTTACAAAAAGAGCCATAAGAATTATCACAAGAAGCATTACTATCACCCATCTAATAAATTGTTTCATCAATTAAAATGATTAAAATTTGATGAGTTGGTTAATTATCATATTCTGCAGGTTATGTATAAAGCTCATAAAAATGTGTTACCTTCAAACATCCAATCTAATTTTGTTAAGAGGGAAAGCTGCTATAATTTGAAGGGATTACAAATGTTAAACCAAAAATCAGAACAAATCTGAAGGTGCACTTCAGTGAAAGGCATAAGACCAAGGAATAATCTGGAGAATGATTATAAAAGCACTGGACCAATTAATTCCTTTAAAAAAGATCAAAGCAAAATTGTTAAAAAAATATTAAATTGTATAATTTGTATTTGAATGAGTCACTGTTTGAATAGCTGAATGTTTTGTTTTATTATTTAGTTTATTATTGTTTGAAATTAATATAATTTTTTTGTAAATAGGAGCAGATAAGATTTTTTTCTTCTGCCATTCATTTTATTTGATTTGTATTGTTTCGTTGTATGTAATGTGTTTTTTTAATGAAATGAATAAATACTATAAAAAAACAAAAAAAAATCAATAGTATTGGGAAATGTGAAATATGAAATGAAATATGATATTTCAGTGGATCGATGTTTTCTCACACCAGTACTTGTTGTAACATTTCAATCAAAACATTTAGTTTTAAAATTTAGATAAATATACAGAGATATTTTTGTTCTACTCCAAAGTCTCACCTCAATCTGTCCTTGTCGTGCATAGGATGGGTGGTTCTTCAGTATTTTGATCGCCACCACTTCATTCGTTCCCCTCTTCCAGCACTTCACCACCTGGCCAAAGGTGCCCCGACCCAGAAACTCCAAGACCTCGTAGCTGTTCTTCAAGGAGTAGAGAACTTCGTGCCGAACCAACTGATAGTCCCCGTCTCCCGATCCAGTTCGGCTCAGCGTAGTGCCCACCACCACATCAGAGCTGTCGTCAGGCCTCGTTTCAGTCCCGTCGACGCCTGCCACCGCGTCGACCCTGCTGTGTTGAGGAGGCAGTGTCCCTCCCCCGCCTGCTCGGACGGTGTCGCCGTTGTTCCCGGTGCTGGTCTGCAACATGGCCACAGGAGGAGGAAGTGACGGTAAAGCAGACGCCTCCTCCACTATCTGCATGGTCCTAAAGCGACTGCTCGCCTGCGGTTGTTCTCCACCTTCACCCGTCTTCTGTTCACATCTCTGGGTGGCGGTCGAGTCGACGACGGAGACGTATCCTCCTCTTCCTTGTGCTCTTCTGCTTCTGGCTTCCTCACCCTCCGCTCTACCACAAGCCTTGCTCGATACACCACAGTCCAAGTCTCCACCACTCTCTTCCTGTGGTACTCTGCTGTGATCAACAGGCTGCTGATCCTGGATCCCAACTGGACCTTCTATCAGGCTGTCCCCCCAGCTTCCCACACTCTGAACTGCCGCTGACTGCAAAGTCCACGGCTCAGTCTCTACAAGCTGTTGACCCCCGTGTAGTCTTCCTAAATCTGCACCAGTTGAAGAAGGGACAACGTTGTTGGGATACGCGATACCGTAGTTGACTCCAATCACATAGGTCTTGGGCGGAGGTCGATGCTCGAAGGCTCTGCTGGTGTTGTAACTGCGGTGGACTTCACCAGAGTATCTGCTGGTACCGCTGCCGCTGCTTCCTAAGGCACTTGTTTGAGCTGAGTGCAGATGTGACGGATAGACTAAGACTTGTGAGGCCATACCTTTAAATACACAGAAGATAAACAAAAATTAAAGAAAAATAATAAACATTTTTGTTTTAAGGTAGTATCACTGGACTGGAAAATCGCATTTCAGGGTCCGACAAATCCTATTGCCCGACTGCCTGGGGCAGGTAAAACTCATATTCAGGCAGGTGGGTGTGTCCCGATGCCTACCTGACCAGGCAGGTGAACAATTTCTTTTGTTTTTTATAGGGCCATTTATTCAAAATATTCTGAAAATAAATGAAGAAATGTATTGTTTTAAAACACGTACAGAGAGAATAAATCCTCAAAATGTCCCCCTTCCCTGTAGAAAAGTTACGTCGAGTCGCGGGCTCATTTCCTCCCTCCCTCCTGCTGCACGTCGCGCAGAGCGAAGCTTTAACAACCGTAGTTTATTCACACACAAGTTGTCGGAGAAAAAACTTGTTTTTCATGTAGTTACCCACAGAGATGATAAAAAGATGTGGACGTTCGTTCAGTCATAAATCCATCTTGCTAATGTAACAGTTCTGCTCTGAGAGCAGCAGCGGGTCAGTTCTACAGGCTCACTGTATGGCAGGCTGATATTACATTTATTTGGCTTCACCACTCTTACATTCCAGATATCTGAAATTGTTTTATGACTAAATTAGCCAGATTAGTTATTTAGAATAAAATAGTAAAATGTTTTTTTTAAATTTGGAGATCTTTCCAGCTTGAGCTTGTTTGTTGAAGTTGACTTCTGAAAATAATGGGCACATATGATAAGTTTTTTCACTCTGCACCCTTTTAATTCAGGGTAGGATTTACTTTGTTTTTTAATGGTGTATAGGCCCGTCACGATAACAAAATTTACTGGACGATAAATTGTCTCAGAAATTATTGCAATAAATGATAATATTGTGGAGACCTATAACCCCCCATTTACAGAAGTTTACGATAAAATTTACATCGTGTAAAAAGAATAAACAACTGTCGACAATACCAAGGCCTCACCAGCTGTATGAAGGCGTCAGAAAACTGGCCTGTTCACAGGCCTTCATGCTACAGAGTAGTGCTGTCCCGACTAGTCGACGTCACCGGTTACGTCGGCTGCATAAATACTAGGGCTGTGTATTGGCAAGAATTTGGCGATACGATACATATCATGACAGAGGGGTCACGATACGATATATCGCGATATATCCCGATATATTTCGATACTGTAAACAAGGCGATATATTGCGATATTTTTGGTCCAAAAATTCTATTAAATAAAAACCTCTTACTGGTAAAGAAAAAAAATTCATTGTCTCAGAAAATTCTAATATTACAGACATACTTTTGATACATTTAGCTGTTTTCTGCTTTGTATGTATTTTATTTTTTTGTTTCATATTTCATCCCTGTTTTCAATTATTAGACTAAATTTGCCAATAAATAGTTTGAAAATATATTTTTTGCAGCTTTTAGTTTTTAATATTAATTTACAATATGGTAATCCAACACTTAACAATAGTCATTATGTTGTCATAAAGTTCAGTAAACAGATGATATGAAGCTGCTGCACACAGAGTTTCTGGGATCAGCTGACCTGCATCCAGAACATTATAACTGTGGGTCGAACAGCAGGGCAGGTCCTGAAGAAAACCAGTTAAGAAACTGAGAAGCTAAACCAGTTAAACCGTTTTAGAAGCGAACACAGCAGGATAAAGTTTATGGACTTTGATGCCCGTGTCAGCTTTTAATAACTGTAGAGACGCCGTTACTCCTCGGTTGAGCTGCAGCCTGCAGATGAAGCAATATGTGTTTTTTATTTTTATTTTTTGCGAAGCAACGTCTGCTGTTTGCCTCCTTTTTCATCTGTTAAGAGAGCGAGGAGGAAAAGTTCTGTGCGGTGTGCAGCGCAGCTGCAGCGCTGCTGTCCCACCGGGTGAATGAAAGTCAGCAGACATGCGCACAGGTCAGTTTTCTACAATCAGAATAAGATGATCTGATTAAGTGTTTACATGACGCATTTTTATTCAGAACGGTTGTTTAATCCGATTACTTTTGCCCATGTAAACGTAGCTAATGAGAGCAACAGACAGAGTTTTATGTCACGGGGGGAGTGCCGAGCTCACTCGAGGTGAAAGACGCATGCGCTCTATGCGTAACGTGAAAGCTGACTACAGTTGGAAAAAAGAGCGCACAAGACACTTAATTTGTCTTAAAATCCAGACATTCTGACAAATAAGTAACTGTTGGTAACCTTACCTCAGCTTAGAAGGCAGAGGGTGTCGGTCTTTTCAGCTCAGATTCAACTATCGGAGCATGAAGCTAATGTTTACTTACAATGCTAATGCTCTCTTACTCTCTGGAGCTCAAGAGGTAGAGGAGCCGAATGGCTGGCTCACTGCTGCCAACTAGTGGTCAGAGGCTGAACTACAACATAAAAATGAACGGCTGGCAGGAAAGTTGACATTTTAAACCTTAATAAAAAATCGATACAGGGCTTTAGAATATCGATACAGTATCGGGAAATGAAATATCGCGATATTTCAGTGTATCGATATTTTCTTACACCCCTAATAAATACGTCGACACGCACAACATACCGTCGACACGTCGTTTTATGTGATTACGTCGAAAGACGAGAAGGCAAAGAAAATGGCGACACCCGGTCCGAGCAGTACACGTGAAGAAGACCCCGATGACAGAGTTCAGCCAAGGAAACGTCCAAAGACGTCGAAAGTGTGGGAGTATTTTAAGCCGAAAGAAAAGGGCTTGGTTGGTTGTTCACTCTGCAAAATGGAGTTAGCCTACCATAGTAGCACTACCGCAATGAATGAACACCTGAAGCGCAAGCATCGTGGTGTTCTGCTTGAAGATGAAGGCAGGAGGAAAAGAGCAGAATCGTAAGTCCTGTTATATTGCTTTTTGGCATTAACGTAATATATTAAGAATAATAACGTTGGCAGCAACAGTCTCTGTGGTACTTTGATTGTTAGCGTCGACGTTGTCCTCATCAGAGAAACTGAAACTTACACACTTCAGGCAGAAATGTTTTTACATGCAGTGGGCAGTGTTGCTTTCACAAAAAACATTAAGGTGTTTCTTTTCCTCCACTTTCTCCTTGTTTACCGAGGGGTTTGCCATTAAAATCTTGACAACACCGTGATTTATACGGTGTTAATTATTAATTATACGGGAGTTAATATAAACTACTGTTACTATTATTAAAATGGCACTTCTTTATTCCCAGAGAATTATATGGACTGCTAAAATTGCACCAAGTTTTTGGCGGTCTTTCTGAAAGTGACCTAAAGCACATATTTTGATTTTTGGATTGCATTGCTAAGATTGCACTATATTTATTTTTACTTCAATTATTTAATTTTGCTGGTCACTGGAGAGACTTAAGTGAAACTGTTTTACTTTGCTGCTTGAATGTTTTGTTTTTTGACATGTTTGGTATTTCTTATTAAGAAAACTAAATAAACAGGAATTTCAATTAGAAAAGATTTTTGTATTTATTTTTGTAAATTAGTCTTTATATTACTCAATCAACAAAAAATAATCGTTAATGAATCAAAAAAAATAGTCGTTAGACTAATCGAATAATCGTAAAAATAATCGTTAGATTAATTGAGAGAAAAATAATCGTTTAGGACAGCACTACTACAGAGGTTAGAGAGCATGGACCCGACAAATACTCAGACACCAGAGTTCACTCCTCTCTACACTAACAAGTAGAAAAGAGGGAGACACGAAGAAAAACAAAACAAACAAGCAAATGAAAATTGTCCTCATTTTAATTTACCTTCCTCAATTTAATTTATCATACGATTACTTGATTTAATGTTTATTGTGACAGGCTTAATGGTGTACATATGTTGTTTTGTTTTTATGAATGAAAGAAACAAATAAATATAGACATCTCTTAATATATTTTGACAAGGCAAAATACCTATTTAAAATACCGCTAAGTATATTCTGACTAGTATAATTAATGTCAGATTTATCATTAAGTTGTAGGGAGACTCCAGTTCAAGAGATCTTAAATGTATCTTTAGATATGAGATAAGCTATGTAAGATTCAATTAACGCAAATTTCAGATTTTTTCATGTTCTGTAAATTGTATTTTAAACTTATGGAAATATTTATTTAACAAAGACAGAAATACGTGGTCCAAGAATGAAGGTACTCTGTGGAATGACCAGCTGAGTTTTATTGCAACAACAGGAACACAGAGAACAACATAAAGCCATCAGACTGTCTCTGCTCCTGCTTCTGAGGCAGTTCAGGCCTCATATATACTGTTTAACAAACACTATTATGTCATCTTAATAAAGCAAGATTTCATCCTAAGGAAATGCTGGGTCAAGAGAAAACACAAAGATAAATACAAGTGATATCTAAGAATGATTGTTGTTAGCAAATCTTGTTCTGGCTATAATCACTGATGAACAGCATGTCATGAAAACTCAGAGTATGTCATGAATTACTGGCTTTAACCTAAAAGTATTATTTCCATTACAAAAACAAAGCTGCTGCTGTTGATCATTCTGTTTTCATAAGCAGCCCTCAAGGCCAAGACACTAGGGGAAACACTGGAACGGTCTAAAAAGTAGGGGTGTAAGAAAATATCGATGCACTGAAATATCGCGATATTTCATTTCCCGATACTGTATCGATATTCTAAAGCACTGTATCGATTTTTAATTAAGGTTTAAAATGTCAACTTTCCTGCCAGCCGTTCATTTTTATGTTGTAGTTCAGCCTCTGATCACTAGTTGGCAGCAGTGAGCCAGCCACTTGGCTCCTCTACCTCTTGAGGTAGAGGCTATTGTTAAGTGTTGGGTGACCATATTGT